GCAGCTGCTGGCAAAATGGAGATGTGCCCTTAAGCGGGAAATCTGGACTGCTCTATTTGCTCAGATAACACAAACTTCCAGTTCACATTCAGATTCTACTTTTGTGTGGTCACAGTAAATAATAAACCTTTTGGGTTTTGACGCGAGGAGGAAAATCTTCTCTGCTAAAAGTCTCAAGTGCCCTTGAACCAATTTTAGCAGCGGTGACAAGGAAGCAAGAGAAGCAGAAGGCTGAGGAAGCGAAAGCTGACCTCGAGCTGTCCTCTTAGTTGGAGGCATGTTGTTGTCACAGCACGGCATATGTATTTCCCAGTGGCCCTATTGCCTGGGAGTCCATTTGTCTCAGCTGAAAGGATGCAGTCACTGAGGAAGATCAGAGTTTTAACCCTTTGCAGAGCAGCAAGCAGTCAAATGACAGAAGAACAGATAAGCCAGCTGTGGTCTGCACTACACAAAACCAGGAATGGTTGTTTTCAGGTTGTTTCTTACTGATTTGTTAATTGCTGCCTTTTTACTTTCTGGAATTGGATCCATGGCCTGACAGATCCACTTACAAAAATGCTTTATTTATAGTGGATGCCATCACTTGGTTTGGAAGGAAGCTTATTCTTCTCCCATTCTTTGCAGGCTTTGGTTGCAAAACCCTTTTGTGATGGACTTCAAGATTACTGCAGCTATCAACAGTCTTTCATTGGAGAGACTGTGTGCAGCTAGTGGGTTGTCATTCCAGAAATTTAAGGAAGATGCACATTTCTGACATGCTCCATGCAGCCTGTTTTAGTGCCAGCTGTGGGATGACTTTTTGGAGTGTGGGTTCCTGCCTCTGCTTAGTATGTTCTCAGGCTGGTACTTGAGATTTCAACACTGAAACTGCTTCCTGGCAGCATTAGCTCACTTCGAACAAACTTCTTGTTTTACCATGTTGTTGGGAATTTCAGAGATAAACAGAACTTCCTACTCATTGTTTTGCTGGTCTCTGTGCTGACCAGGTCACCAGGGTACGCTGTTTCTCCAGAAAAGCATAGATAAAATACGAAATGTGGCAATGCAAGTCTTGCTTTTCTCTCTCAAAACTGTCTCCAGCCTGTTCTGAGGAAAATCTGTCCTCGGCTGGAAGAAGCAGTTGAGTTCTCTGCTGCCTCTTCAGCCTCTGCTGTATCAGCTGAGTCTTTTTGCAATATGAGGGGAGAGCTGGTTATGGAAACTAACTTTGAATGTGAAACTTTATAAGGTTATAAGGAACCAAACAAAAGCAAAGGCATTTTACACAACATGTAGGTTTCAGTCATAGAAAGGCTGCAGCTTACCTGAGCCAGATTTAAAAAGCAGTGTGTGAACAGAAGTGATGGGATCCAAATCTTCCTTAAACTCACCCATGAAGCCACTTGACTCTGAAAGTATTCTACAGCTACTCTGTCCAACGTGGGACTGTTTGCAAATCCTGCCTGTCTCCTCAGCCAGTACCCATCCGTTTTTGCCTTAAAGAAATACCCTAAAATGCACTCCAGACCTTCTGTCTGTACTAAGAGAGTATTGATTCAGCTGGTAGATCTGGGGTCCACTTTCACTGAGGCACTGTTGTGTGGTGGAGCAGGAATCTGAGGGATCCAGTTCCTGTGCAGTCTTTCCCACCCTCACAGAAGTCCTGTTTAATTTTGGGCAAGCTGTTTTCCCAGCTGAATCCATGGAACTTCAACAGGATCCTGTCAGGCTTTTATGATTCCTTTGAAATATACCCATTGCTGAGAGACTCTTTCACAGATGTTACCAAAGAGATAAATCCTGTAGCTGTTGTTAGTCCTAGTTTCTTCTTCCTTTGAATGGTGAAGTGAAAATGAAATAATCAAACCCGGATTCCATCACAGAATCCAGATTTCCTAGGCAAAATTTGATTCTCTTGCCTTTCAAGCACACTTAAATGATCTCTTCTGTCCTGGATGAGATTGTGTAAGGGTGGGAGTAAGAATTTCTCCTCTGTTGGTCGTTGCTGCCTTGTCTGCCCTGTTTGGGTAACTCTTGCAGAGAGGAGATTGACACATGAGCTGCTTCTCTCCAGTCACTTTATCCAATGACTGTTTAATAAAACACAGGAATACGTTAGCAGGGAGGGAATATCAGAGGAGAGGAAGTGTCATGTTTCTCTCAGCCGTTTCTGCTCAGTTTGCCCAGCCACGAAGAGCTGGAGCTGGGAATGCAGACTACTAGACCAGATGTGGTGGTGTGTGGACCTGCATTTCCACCCTTGGGAAGTGGGCAGCCGCCCTGAATGCGGGCATTTGCCACCTTCTGTGACCTTGCCATGCCCTGTCAGCAGGACCTGTTTGAGTGGATCACCTGGACGAGGCTCCAGCGCCACTGTCACGATCATGGCAACGTCTTAACTGACCAGAAGCAGTGCAGAATGTGAATGTCGCTTCGTGAACCTTAACTTCTCAGTGCTTCAGCAGCAGAGCTTCTGTTGAAAGAGCTGTGATCAGTCAACAGCTATTAGCAGTCCCTTAATTAAAAAAAAAAAAAAAGTATTTAAGTTTTATATTGTGAATATTGTAGTATTTTTTTATTTTAAAACTTGAGGTGTTTTGATAATACTTGCAAAGTCAAATGAACAAAGCGTTGCTAATCTCCAAAAATCTAAATCCATTTAGTTGGTGGGAAACCTGTAAATATTGTAATTTTTTTGTGTGTATTTCTGTGCTCTTTTTTTACCCAAAGGTTCTGGCTGTACAAAAGAGACTGACATGTGGGAGAGGTGCAAGCAATTGACAACAACATTTGAGTTAATGTTGGAAAGGGCTGATTTCCTTTAGATGTCCTGATACTGTTCATTTGCTAATAAAACAAAAGAACTGCAGTTGCTTCTCTTTCCTTTTTCCTTGCCCCAAACTGCTGCTCATTCCAACTCCAACCATCTGGGAGTGCACATTGGAAGGTTCTCTTTATTCCTGATCCAGTTGTGATAAGGGTTGTTGTCCATGGCAGACTTAGAATCAGAGTGGTTTGGTTTGGAAGGGACCTTAAAGATCATCTCCTCCCACACCACCCCCCCATGGGCAGGGACACCTTCCACTATCCCAGGTTGCTCCAAGCCATGTCCAGCGTGGCCTTGAACACTTCCAGGGATGGGACAGCCACAGCTTCTCTGGGCAACCTGTGCCAGGGCCTCACCACCCTCACAACCAAGAATTTCTAATACCTAATCTAAGCCTACTCTCAGTTTGAAGCCATTAGTCCTTGTTCTGTCACTGTAGTTCCCAATGAAGAGTTCCTCTCAGGGGGGATTTGTTGGAGAAGAGGCTTTCTCTGTAGAGTGTGTTTGTAACAGATCTGATTCTCCCTTCCTGAGTCCTCTGCAAAAATAGCTGGGCCTCTGTTCCTGGCTTTGCCTTGACTGTTGGTGCCATGTGGGTGGGCCTTGTTCTCCCACAGCTCTGAATGCCCCTGGGCACTTCTCACTAGTACAAAAGCATCTGCAAAAGACCATTTACAAATGGCCTTTAGGAGGTGAGATCTAGATTTCTGTGCTAAAGATCTGCCAGCAAAGTCAGATGTGATGCAGAGGTGATGTCCCAGTATAGGAGCTTTTCTTCATTCTGTCTGAAATGCTCAGTGTTCTCCATGATGGCATTGCTTGGTGTAACCAGTCCAGACCAGGAAATCCTGCTGCTGCGTTAGGTAATTTCTGGCTCTGCTGGTTTTTGTCTGCAGCAACAGTGAGAGTTGGGAGTTCTCAAGCCACAACCACTGCCATCTGCAGAAAAGCATCACAGCTTGTGAGCGAGGGGCAGAGCATTTTGCTTATGGCACAGTATTCCAGAACGCCTGCAAGCAGGGCATGGGCAGCCTGAGAGGGAGGGGATTGGGAGCAGTGCTGACCCGGCTCCTCGGAGCCCTGCTGTGTGCAGATTTCTTGTCGCCCACAGCCATGGGGAAATCAGGCTGCTTAAGTAAGAGCTTGTTAAAACATGAGGCATGCTGCAAAGATATTTGTGTGCTGTGTTTTAAGCTGCTTTGGGAGCATCATCTCCCCATCCTGGTGGGTCAGTTCTGCCAGTTGTAATGACTCAGGTGAGCTGAGCAATGGTGGTTTCTGTCTCTGCTCCCCCAAAATGTTCATGCCCGAGTTTCAGGGTTGTATTTGCTCTCCCATGCAGGAACTCAGAAGTGGTTCCTGGCTGGGGAAAAGAGGGGGCCTACACTTGTGTTGTGTTTTCCTGAGACAAAGTTCAGGTAATGTATCTTCAAACAGAAATTTTGTTCCTTAGTAGGGAGCCAGCTCTTGGCTACAGTAGGCTCTGGGTTTGTGATTACATGTCCAACCTGTTCTGGAGTTTTTGCTCAGCCTTTGCTATCCTTTGTAATCTGAGTAGCAGCAGGCTCCCGTGGGATCCCCTTGGCACAAGCTGCTTGCTGCCAGGCTCCTTGTTTAGCCCGGGGCAGAAAGTACAAGTGAAAGCTTGAAATGCCCTTGCTGATGCATGAGCCATGCAGGTTCTAGCCTGCTCCGGGTAGTGAGCACTGTATGCATTGTCCATGTGCAGATGGAGCACATGGAAAACGTGCTCTGGCAGCAGCGTGGCCTGAACACCGTCCTATGGTGCACCCCCAGCACACCGGCATCAGGAGAGAGGGGTGCCGGGGCAGCTCCTGGGCTTGGGCCCTCGATGGCGAGCGGGATGCTGCCGAGCATCCCGGAGCATCGGGCAGGGAAGATGCTCGCCGCAGCTGTGCCTGGGGTTGTCCGTGTGCCACAACCAGCGGTTTGCGATGCGAGGATCCCCCCTCTGCCCCTCAGGGCCGGTCTGCCGGGGGATTTAGTCATCCCAAGGCCCGCGGGGATGCCGTGCCCCGTATCCCCTACCCTCCCCGGGCACAGCGCCCGCCCCGCCTCTGCCAGACGGGCCGGGCCGGGCTCCGGGCTCCGGGCCGGGGCCGATCCGTGCCCGGGCGGGCGGGGCTGGGCGGTGGCGGGGGCGCGAGGGCCGAGCCTGCGGTGAGGGGCGGGCCGGGGCGGGCGCTGCCGGGCCCCGCTCTCCGCGCCATGGCCCCGCCGCCCGCCGCGCTGCTCCTGCCGGCCCTGGCCGCGCTCCTGGCCGTGCCTGCCGCCGCCCGCGCCGCGCCGCGATCCATCGGTAACGAGGGGAGCGGGGCAGTGGCACGGGGTGAGGAGGGGGGCACCCGGCCCGGGTACCGGCAGCAGCACCGGGCCGCCTCCTGCCCGCCTGCCCCGCCGGGGCCGGGAGAGGGGGTACCGCACCCCGGCACGGAGCGCGCTGCCCTGCATCCCTGTCCCCGCTGCATCCCTGTCCCCGCTGCATCCCGCTGCATCCCAGCGCATCCCAGCGGCATCCCCGCCCTCGCAGGCGGTGCTGGTTCCCTTCCCCCCGCGGCCGGGGAGCGTGGCCGGGGACAGCGGCGGGACCCCGGACCCCCGGGGCCCTGCTGACCCGGGCCCCTCGCCGCTCTCTGCCCGCAGCCGTGGTGGGCGCCGGGCTGGGGGGCTCGGCCGCCGCTTACTTCCTGCAGCAGCACTTCGGGCCGCAGGTGCAGCTGGACGTGTACGAGGCGGCCGGCGTGGGCGGGCGGCTGGCCACCGTCACCGTCAACAAGCAGCAGTATGAGAGCCGGGGAGCCTCCATCCACGCCCTTAGTCTCCACATGCAGGACTTCGTCAAGATCCTGGGTGAGCATGGGCATCCCAGCACTTGCGTGGCCTCCCTCTGTGAGCTGGGGGCTGCGGGACCCCCAGGCTCTGTGCCTGGGGCAGTGGGGAGGGTTTCTGCCAGTCCCCCCCAGCATCCCAGGCATGCGGTGATCCCCTTGCTGTCCGTGCACTCCAGCCTGTTGTGCCCTGAGCAGAAAGGGATCAGGTGGCCCAGCAGACCATCAGGGTGAGAGGTCTGGTGGAATTAGTGTTCAAAAAAATCCCCCCAGTTTGTTCCAGTAGGCAGCAGCAACTCCATGGGATGCCCCAACATACAGGATTTGGCTGGAGTCCCAATGCCTTGGGGTCTTGTGCTCCCTGATGCTCCTCCAAGAGCATTTTTGCCCGTCTCTCCCTGCTATGGAGGTGTTGGGCACTGGCCTTTCCCAGCAGCCAGCCAGCCCCAGGGAGCTGTGCGAGCCCAGCGGGGCCGGGGTCCCTCTGCTCCCGACAGGCCTCAAGCACCGGCGCGAGGTGGCCGGGAAGAGTGCCATATTCAGCGGGGAGCACTTCGTCCTGGAGGAGACCGACTGGTACCTGCTCAACCTCTTCCGGCTCTGGTGGCACTATGGCATCAGTTTCCTGCGCCTGCAGATGTGGGTGGAGGAGGTGATGGAGAAGTTCATGAGGTAGGAGAGCCTGCGGGGCTGGGGGTGGACATAGTGGATTTTTCCCAGCACCGACACATCACCAGTTGCCCTGTGCTCCTGTCCCCTCCAGGATCTACAAGTACCAGGCTCATGGCTACGCCTTCTCCAGCCTGGAGGAGCTGCTGCGCTCGCTGGGGGGTGATGCCTTCGTCAACATGACACAGCGCTCGGTGGCCGAGTCCTTGCTGGAGGTGGGCGTCACACAGCGCTTCGTGGACGACGTCATCGCGGCCGTCCTGCGCTCCAGCTACGGACAGTCCGTGCTGGTGCCTGCCTTCGCAGGTGAAGACAGGGACCCCTCTCCTCCCTGTGTGACCCTCCTCAGCACTCAACAGCGGGCAGGCTGTTGAGCCACCTTCCTCTTCCTCTCCACAGGAGCCATGTCACTGGCAGGAGCCCAGGGCAGCACCTGGGCGGTGGAAGGAGGGAATAAGCTGGTGTGTTCGGGTCTGCTGAAACTGACCAAAGCCAACGTCATCCCGGCCAGGGTGACGGGCATCTCCCTGCACAGCTCGGGTGAGCCTGGGCACAGGCTCTGCTCTGGGTGCTGCTGGCCTGGGTGTGGGTCTGGGTGAGGGTCTGGGTGCACCAGGGCGGGAGTTTGGTGGTGGCAGCATGGGGAATGCTGGGGCTGGAGAGCATCCTGGTCCTGGTAAGGCATTTGGGCAAGGGATCAGGGGTCTATCTATCTCATCCCCTGCTCTGACCCAGTGAGGACCCTGCAGTGCAGAAATCAACCCTGAGGTCCCCCTCCCTCCCTCCTTCCCTCATCAGGTCTCTCAGGTCACCCTGTGTCACCATCCTTGTTGGAGACTTGCTCCCCATCCAGCACAAAAGAAGAGTTAGATAGCTGGGGTCTAGGGCATGGGCTGGGCTTGTCTGGAAACTTTCTCCCAGTTTTGATAAAGTCTTTCTGCTGCCCTAAAGTGTCAGCAACTCATCTGTGACCATCAGGTGCTATGGTTGAGTACTGGTATGTACTGGAAAACCAGTAGCATGGAGGCCATGCTAGAAAAGAGAGGGACAGGGCAATACCACTGGGGGCTCAGGGCCACTCCTAACTGTCCACTGTGTCTTTTCAGAGGGCAGAGCCCTGTACCAGGTACACTACGAGAGCAGCGAAGGCCAGGGCTCAGCTTTCTACGACATGGTGGTTGTGACGACGCCCCTGCATCCCAGCAGGAGCAACTTTACCTTTGAGAACTTTGAGCCGCCCATCGCTGACTTCCCCGGAGCCTTCCAGCCCTCCGTCACCTCTGTGGTGCACGGCTACCTCAACTCCTCCTACTTCGGCTTCCCTGACCCCAAGCTCTTCCCTTTCACCAGCATCCTCACCACCGACACCCCCGACCTCTTCTTCAACGCCATGGACAACATCTGTCCCGTCAACATCTCGGCAGCTTTCCGGCGCAAGCAGCCCCAGGAGGCTGCGGTGTGGCGCGTCCTCTCCCAAGAACCACTGGACAAGCACCAGCTGAAGACCCTCTTCAGGTCCTACTACTCGGTGCAGGTGACAGAGTGGCAGACGTATCCCCGCTACGACGCCGCCAAGTCCCTCCCGCCCATCGTGCTCCATGAAAACCTCTTCTACCTCAGCGGCGCGGAGTGGGTGGCCAGCTCCATGGAGATGATAGCAGTGGCGGCCAAAAACGTGGCCCTGCTGGCTTATAACCGCTGGCATCAGGACCTGGAGAAAATCGACCAGAAGGACTTGATGCACAAGGTGAAGACGGAGCTGTGATGCCCGGAGGGCGGTGGGCCGGGAGCTTTGGTGCGGGGTAGCCTGGGGAGTATTTATTGCCTTGGGGAGACCGGGGCTTTGGGGCTGGGGGACAAGGGACAGGCTGTGTCCCAGATGACTGGAACGTGCGTCACCTTCAGGAATACAGTTCCTGCCTAGTGCTGCTGTGTCTGTGCCATGTGCCTCAGTTTCCCTGTTCCCCGTCCACAGGCTCTACTGGAAAGGAGCCTGTGCCTTCTCCCTCGAGAAAGGGCCAATGTGTTTAGGAGGCATCTCAGGGGGCTTTCAAGGGAGAGGCTGGCTGGCATTAGCAGCAGATGAGGGCCTCCTTTTGAGCTGCCTGGCTCCCACCACAGTCCCTCCTTCCTTCCTGGCTTTGCCCCTGTGGAACTCAGTGGTAGGGCTGGCCCTGGCTGGGGCAGGATGTCCCACAGCCTCTGCCATGCCATGCATGTGCATGGAGCTTAACCCTGCTCATGGGCTTGGTGCCCTGGGAATGGGCTGCAGGGTGGGCTGTCTCAGTTCCTGCTGGGTGCTCCCTGTTTCTGGGAGTGTTCAGGCTTCCCCGAGCTCTGAGGAGGCAGAAGAGCCTTGGTGGGAGAAGACTGGGCACCCCGACCCTGGGTGGGCAGGGTGAAGGGGCAGCGTGACAGGCCGAGACAGGGGCCAGCAATGCACTTTATTGAAGACCTCAGAAGCTGCCCAAACCACCAGCCACTCACCCTGGACTGCCTGGGCTGGCACAGAGGAACTTATGGGAGGATTGGGGAGAGCTGGGTGCTACCAGAGCTGTTGCACCGATGGAGGGAACGAAGGCAAGTGGGGACTTCGGGAAGGGAGGAGGCCTGATCCTGCCCAGCCAGAGGGGCCAGCGGGCAGCTGCCTCCCTCTGTCCCCCAGCCCATCCTGCTGAGGTTCGGGGGGCTCAGGGCAGTGGATGTCTCGCTGCAAGGCCACGGGACTGCATAGGCTGGGGGACTTGCAGGGGCTGCCTCTGCTCTGGGTGTCCCCAAAGTGGCTGCTTGGGCTGAGGCTGATGGAGTCTGCAGGGGAATTTCGGGGAGCTGCTGGAGCTGCCATGGCTTTGCGCAGGGGCTCCCTTCTTCCTGATGCTCAGCCAGGTGACCCTCTCCCAGAGGGCTGGGCAAGCTCAGGAAGCAAGAGCAAGCTGGTTAGATGCCCGTGGGTAGCTGCAGGGGTTAGCTTTGCAACCTCAGAAGATGCAGGTGCAGCCCACAGCGATGGTCTCCATGACCATCTGATACTTCTTGTGGCACTTCTTCTTCCCGGAGGGCTTGTGCCCCACCTCTCCTGGCACCTGGCAGAGCAGCCGGCGGACAGGGAGCCGGCTGTAGATGGGAATGCTGGCCATGGTGCGGTCCTCCTGCATCGTGAAGGGGTTGATGCAGCCAGTGCAGAGGCATCGGGCCTCGGGGATGTCCGCTGGGATCCGTGTTGCGTCATGGTTTATGCTGGAGGAAAGGGAAAATGAGACAAGGTTGGAAAGATGGTGAGATGGGAGCAGTGGGTGGCTGGAGAGGGCAATGAAATGGGGTTCTGCATCACATCCTGTTGCACCATCCAGCAGCCACCACAGACCCGTGACGCTGCACCTGTGGCTGCCGCGGTGCTTCCTGGCACAGAGACAAGGCACAGGACCTTGCGTGTCCCCAGGGTCCCTGCCCCAAGCTCACCTGTAGGCCCAGGGGGACAGGCTCCTCCGGTTGGACCTCCAGAGCCTCAGGTTGACCTGGCACTTGGTGTCACCTGGCTCAGAGCTGTTCCTCAGCTGGCGCACCATGTCCTGGATGCTGTGCTCGTAGTCTGCCATGGTGGTGTAAGGGTCGTCCGGGGCCCAGGCGAGGGCAGGGGTGGCTGTTGGGGGCCGTGCCAGGCCCCTTCTCCTGCCCTTCGCTGCCTTGCTTTGATCCTTCGCCTCAGGGACCAGGACCATGGCAAAGGTGAAGATGCAGAGGAGAAGCTGAGGAAGAAGGAGGACGATGTGTGGCTGCTTGGGCTGCAGGACTGGCATGGAAGGGGAGCTCTCCCACTTCCCAGGGGTCAGCAGGTGATGGCAGGACTGCAGTGACTTTGGGATGGCAAGTGCAACCCCCAAAGGAGCTCTGGCCTGCAGGTGAGACCCGTGGAAACATTGAGAGCAGTTTGCAGGGATGGTGAGCACAGGGTAATGATGACCCCAGCTGATGCGTGTGGCTGTGAAGACCCTCACCTTGCAGCTGACAATTTGTGTTGCCCAAAGTGCCCCTCTGCTGCCCAAGATGTGCCCAGTCCCTTCACTGCCCACCCAGCAGCTGCATGCTGGGAGGGATGGGTACACCCTCAGCTCAGGCTGTACCTGGACAGCCTCTGGTTTAAAAGGAGCCTTAGAGATGAGACAGACAAGAATGGGATCTTTATCCAAACCCTCCTCTCCCTCCCTCTGTACTCTGAGGACGGTGAGAGAGAAAAGATGCTTTTTCCTCCCCTTCTCCCTCCAGCTCGCAGGGCCGAGCTGCCGTGTGCTGGCACCCGGCAGGCTGCCCAGCAGTGAACAAAGTTGCTTTCTGTAGTCCTGCTCCCTGCTATTTGTGTCCCTGCAGTCGGCTGAGGCAGCCCCACACCCTGCCCATGGGTGTGCAGTGCCCTGGGACAGGGACCACTCAGCCAGGGCTGTTTTCCCCCTCCACTCGGACTGTCCCAGTTTTGCTCTCCGAGGTTGTTGCATCCTCACCATGCCAGGCATGGGAGCGATGGCCGTAGCAGGTCACAGCAGGCATCTCCAAAGCAAACAAACCCAGGTAGCCACCCGTAAACAACCATACAAATAATTATATTAAGGAAGGAAAACGAGCAGCGAGCCCTGAGCCGCCGTGGAGTCACCTACCAGGTTTGGAGCCCACTCCATGGCCACGGAGGGGCTGACGGCCGCTGTCCTGCAGTGTGGCTGACACCAGAGAGCGAGGGAGCTAAAAAGGGAAAGCCCCAGCCCCTGCTGTGCCCTGCCAGAGGTGTGTCCGGTCCCCAAGGTGCCAGGGAGGCTCGGCGCCGGCAGGGCAAGGGGCCAGTGTGGTCTGGGACTTGGCCACCCGCCGCTGCTCTGGGCACTGGCTCCACGGTGGTGGTGGTGGCTGTGGTTGGTGGCACATCCCCTGGACCAGGCAGCCCGGAGGGGCTCCCTAGGCAATAACCTGCCCTAGGGGGGCAGGGTTTGGTCTCTGCCCTCCATGTGCCACCAACACCAGCTCTGTCCTCAGGAGCCCCTAGACCCTCCTGCCCAGCAGTGAGCCGATGGCACCCATCATTCTCTGCATCCCTAGCCTGTCTGTCCCCAAACTCTTCCCCTCCTGCTGTCCTCACATCGATTCTCAACTCCTGCCCATGGGAACACACCAGCTGTACCCACAGCTGACCCTGGGTCGGGGCCCCAGAGCTGCAGGGAAGTGGGTGTTAGTGGTGGGTGCTGCTCTTGGCTTCTGGGGCCAAGCATCAGGGTGCACGGTGCTGTGGGGGGAGAAACTGAGACACGGGGGGCCGGCACTAATGCCCCATCTCAGGGAGGGGGGAGAGGTGGCTGCCCTGGGCTGTCGCTGTCCCTGCGGTCAGGTGCCACGCGATGGTGCTGTCCGCCACCCAACAGCACCCCAGTCTGCATCCCTCCTCCCCTCCATTCCTCCTCCTCTCCATCCCGCCCTCCATCCCTCCCTGCATCCCGCTCTCCTCCCCTCCCAGGCCCAGCGGCAGGCGGAGGACTCGGCGCTGTTCCCCACGCTCCCGGGCAGCAGACTCTGCCCTGCTCCTTTGGTGGCAGCACTGGGTGATGAGTTTCCCTCCTCCTCCCGACTCACTGCACATCCCCAGGGATTTGAAGGCCCTTGAGCTTTGTAGGGCAGTGGGAAATTTCCACCTCCTCTTCCCAGTCCATGAACTGGGCCTCCTGAAAACTCTGCAAATAGGGTAAAAGCTGCTGTACCCCCAGCTCACACTGTCCCTCTCCTCCTACCAGCCCCAGGGAACACAGCCCAGCTGCTCCCACCCACCCCAGCCCATGTTAACATCCCCAAGGACAGCCCCAGCATAGCATTTTGGGGGCTTTGCTGTCCCCTGGGGTGAAGTCTGATGCTGTGCACTGAGCACAGTGTCCCGTTTGTCACCTTGGGACCTGGCAGAGGGGACCTGGCTGTCGCAGAAGCCCTGCAACCACCTGCCTGTACTTCACTGGGTGTAAGGCAGCGCCCGACCCTCTGCCACCAGCCTTTTCTGGGGTGCTGAGCCAGCTCCTGCCTGCATCCAGTAACTTCACCCCCTATTCTGTGACCCCCACAAGGGCTGGTGAAGCAGCCCCAGGCCGGGGGCGCCTGCCTGTGCCGCGGCCGCCTGCGTTGTGTCAGCACTCGGCAATGCTGTTTACACATGAGAGAGGCGCAGAGGCATCTGTGCCGGCAGCCAATTACCCAGTTTTGATCTTTTTTGGTGAAAAGGAAACCAGGGCTTTTCAGACATGGCCAAATTTGATAAGCTGGGGGAGGCAGGGGCGGGCGCGGGAGGCTTTTCCCCACCGGCCTCGCGCGAGGGAAGGGGCTGGGATGTGCGGGCGGCTGGGTCATGGCCAGCCTCTGCCTCCAGGCTGGGACAGGCTGGCTGCAGCACTCTGTGTGCCCGTGCTGGCTGCAATGCCATCCCTGTGGGAGCAGGGTGTGCTGGGGTTGGATGGCTGGGAAGGGCTGGAAACCCCCCCAAGGCTCCCCTGGGAGGGGTTACCTGGAGGGGAGAGGTGTGCTTTGGTTTTGTTGTAGGTGCTCACCCCTGCTACCTCCCTGCCACATTGCCCCACTGCCATGGGAAACTTCGGTGGAAAGCAGAGCCTGGAGAGTGGGAACTGGTCCCCAAATGGGGCAGGAGAAATCATGAAGATATGCTCTACCTGCCCCAAGGAAACACAAGTTCTTATTTGCCAGGGTAACCATCTTGGAACCCATGGCGGGGCCCCAGCCCAGCCAGAGGACCCGGGGTAGAGGGATGCAGGGCAGCTGTGTCCTGCCATGCTCAGTGGGAGGGATGCACTGGGCAGGGAGGACGTGGCACAGCACACTATGGGGGACCATGGGTAAGGGAAAGTGGGGAAATCAGACCACAGTTCCACACTGGCAGAAAATAGCTTCTT